GTGTTTCTTCTGGAGGTATTTGTGTTATTTACTGTATTAATTTTCTTCATTTTAGCCTTGAAAAACAGCAGAATTTGCACATAAATGTCTATTTTCTGTCAGTCTGATGACATCATTTTAGAATATTAAATGAGATGTTATGATCATTCACTCAGTACTACTCATGTAGCCTATTTACAAAATACTTTTTTACTCGTACTTGAGTAAAAATATGTTGAAGCAGTGCTACTCTTACTTGAGTACAACTTTTGAGGTTCCACCTCTGAATGTTTCTCAATCTCACAAAGTCTGTTATGATACGATTTCAATTCAATTTAATTCAAGTCTGCCATCAGTTATGACGATATGGATCTATGTTTTCACTTTGCCTCGATGTAACTGAATCATTAATCATCAAATTGATATAGTGATGTACTGTTACACCTCTATGATGCACTGAGCATGAACTTTTAGAAACACCTCTAAACAAGGAATCAAAGTGTCCCAGTGTTAGTGTTTACCAGACTGAAAGCAGACTGTGAGCAGGGGAGGATCGGTCTGAAAAACCTCCTCTGAGAGCCGACGGCAGCGGCGAACGGAGGCGACGAGTGAAGAGCCGAAATAAAGTTGATGCGGTTGATCCAGGAATTCATCTCCATCTTGGATCTGAGGGGGAAGACAGATGCTCTTTTACTCCGACACGCTCACACCCCGCAACACAAACGCACGCCTGATTTTAAGGTAGCTTACGAGGCCTGAAAGAGAAAAACCCTCCAGTCGGCCGTCTGCAAGCGAAACACGTGAGGCTTCTTGGTGTAATCGGAGGCGCGCTCGGCCAGACAGTGATGCACGCTCACCACCTCCTCACTGTTCATCTGATCCCGGGGGTAATCATTCTGACACACAGGAAGAACCAGCGTGAAAAGAAACAGTATATTCTGAATAGCAGACTGCACGAGCCGAGTTACTGACCTTCTGTAAGTAAAGAACCATCCCCTTCAATACTCCGTAAAACATCTTCCAGCCTCTTTTCCCCCACGGAGCTGCAGACACGGAAACATTCAGTGGGTAAAAAAAACGCTCACTTAATCATGCTAACATCATGAAAACCTGCAAATTTCTGCATCCAACTACATCTCAACTACATGCCGTTGAGTGTGGAACTTATTCTGCCTCTTCCTTTTATTCAGTTTTATCTAATATGTCTCATTTTATTCATTTATTTATAATCGTTTTAAAACAGCAGTTTTGTTTGCTTTTCTGAGAAATTTCCATTCGTAGAATCAGGAAGAGTCCAGCTGTCAGATCAGATCACTAAAAAACCTACCACTTCCTGTGAACGCTATATTTGATCAATTTTTACACCTCGTCACTCTTTTTAAAAAAAAGCAGCTGTTTATGTTGCTGTTTTTCTTCGTTGCTATGCTGCATGCGCTAAAAATATCAGCATCAGGCGTTAGGATGTGACACAAACAGATATCAGTTTATCTCATCGAACACAAGAGAAACTATTTTTACTTTGGTAATGCTCAGTTTTACTTTCCATAGCTTCTGTTTTAAGAGCAGAGCTGATGGTCACGGCTGATGAGCAGTAGGATCTCTCTTTGATGCGGCTGTTCAATCAGGAAAAACATGGTGGTAAAGTAAACAATAGTCTCTCACAAACAGAGCTGACGTTTAAAACTATTTCAAACATGGTCACTTCAGATCGGGTTGTTTGCTCTGGAATCCGAGCAGCTGTTAGCTGGAGAAGTTTCAGGTGCATTTACAAGTGTTTCCTTTGTCGGTGGGTGACATCCTTCGTAGTTTCCATCATCAGCTGTAAATTTATTTTAAAAGCCACATGACAGAACATACCCTCCATTACAGACCCCACAACCATGTAGGAGTCATTATGTCATGTGTAATATCCCAGCTGAACCAGTAGGTGTCACGTCTGTAATGTCTGGAAATTTCCATCAAGGTGGTTAATTGTTCTTCAGCTGACAGGTGTTGCTGGTTGGGAAGACTAAAGAGCTTTGGCTTTTGCTCCAGTCCACTAATTTTTGTTTAAAGACAGTTTTTGGAACTTTATGGACCATAGATACATGAAGGAACGTGCTGGTGAGTGATAAATATTCTCTTTATGGGATGGAAAGTGTTTGGAGTTATTTTTCTGAGACACAAAAAGCCAGTCGTAGAACATGAGTGTTAGTTTAAATAATATTAATCCTCGGTCTGACAGTCCAGATCAACACTCATCACTGAGTAAGCTTTTGATGCAGTCGCTTGTGTTGTGGTGTTTCTTGTACTCACTGCGTTTGCCATTGATGTCGGCGTGGATCTTCCTCTGGAGGAATCCCTCTTTGACCACAGTGGCCTTTTTGTCATGAGGAACATCCTGGAAAGGGTTTGCTTTGGAACGTAGAGACATGTTGTCACCGTCATTCTCATCCACCAAGTTCTTCAGCTCCTCTTCGTCACTTGAAATGAAAACACAACCGGAGTGTGAGACAAGCGAGAGCAAATCTCTGTGTGAAGGCTGAGTCAGCATTAACAGTTGTTTCCTTACCATTAGTTTCTTCTGTATGAGTTTTACATACAGAAGTTTACATAAGTACAACATTTTTTATGCCGTGACTTTATACTTTTGAAAATGACTGCAAAATATTACCCCATTTTAAAAAAAATAAAACAGGTAGATCATTTTAAGTCCTTCAAAACATTTTTTCTCTTTGAAACCTGCTCTATTTAGTCTTCTCTCCATTTTGTTGAATCTTAATAATTTTAGCCTTTAGCTACTCTTTTGATCATTTTAGCTTTAGGCTGAAGTTTTGCTTCTTTTATTTTTTTTTAGCATCTGGATACATATTTTTATATTTTGCAAATTTTAGCTATAGGCTACATTTCATTTTAGCAAATTTTAGCTTTTAGATACATTTTTGGATTTTAATTTTTTTGTGTGCAAATTTTACATTTTTAGCTTTTTTTGCTAATTTTAGTTTTTGACTTTTTTTTTTTTTTTTTTTTTTTTGCAAAATTGAACTTATGGCTACTTTTTTGATGAAATAGCTTTTAGCTACTTAAACTTATTTTAGCTTGTGGTTACATATGTTATACTTTATAATTTTAGCTTTTAGCTATTCTCTTGATCATTTTAGCTTTAGGCTGAAGTTTTGCTTTTCTTTTTTTTAGCTTCTGGATACATATTTTTACATTTGGCAAATTTTAGCTATAGGCTACATTTCATTTTAGCAAATTTTAGCTTTTGGATACATTTGGATTTTAATTTTTTTGTGCAAATTTTACCTTTTTAGCTTTTTTTTGCTAATTTTAGCTTTTGACTATTTTTTTGCAAAATTGAACTTATGGCTACTTTTTGATGAAATAGCTTTTAGCTACTTTTTAAACTCATTTTAGCTTGTGGTTACATATGTTTTACTTTATTTTAGCTTTTAGCTACATTTTGTTTTTGCAAATTTTAGCTTTTTGCTAAATTTAACTTGTGTTTAAAAGTTTTTTCTGCAAATTTCAGTTTTTGGCTACAAAATTTTTATATTTTACCTTTCAGTTAACATTTGCCCATTTCAGCTTTGAGATAAATGTATGGCAAATTTTAGCTGTTTTGCTGATTTTAGCTTTCACTAAGCCTAGCCATGTGCTCCTGTTTGGCTAGTTTTAGCATTTAGCTATGGATTAGCTAATTTTAGTTTCCCGCTACACTTCATCTAACTTTCTTTTTGTTTTTACTGTTATAGCTCATTTAGTTTTCAATGTTAACATTTTAGCTTGTGTTCTGAATGCTTCAGCTTTTTCAACACTCAGCGTTCACTGCCTTCTCACAGAAAGTGCTCATTTCCTGATTCATGTAATTTATTTTCTGACAGTGTCGACTTACACAGCCCACTCCAGAGGTTCACTCTTTATGGAGTTGTAAAGACTCTGCGTGAGGAAAAGAAAGTGGGTTTAGTCATTTTAAACTGTCATGGTTTTTTATGATTCACAGAAAGAAATGTGCCAATTTTACTTTTAACAGATCCTTGTTGAAGTTCTCCCCTTCATTCATCCCATCCAGGTTGGACACAAACTTAGAGGATGACATTGCTTTTCCTACAAGCTGTTAAACACAACACAATGCAAACTGAATGAAAACACTTATCTGTCCAACACAAAGTCAAAAACAAAATGTACAGCATTGTCAGCTTTACCTGTCCATGCAAGTCAGTGTTGAGAAGCATCACAGCGCATGTCAGAGCCAACACAGCACCTGAGGATATATTTTTAAAAAAAGCAGCAATGACACACAAAGTAAGTCTGTCTGCTGCATCAGGTAAATCTTTGACACATCCTATAATCTGACGCACCTGGAGAGGAGAAGGAGTCAGGGTTGCCCTGATGGAAGCGGTTGGAGAAATGCTGCAGAACACGCTCTCTCTCCTGAGACTCTCCTATCAGAACCACCACCTTCAGAAAAGACCTGAGGATAAAAGAATAAAATGCAGAATATTGTTTTTTATAGGAGAAACCCTCTTTAAGCTTCTCTGTAATTCTCACCTGAGGGCTTGATCCAGAGTTTGTCCAGTGAAGTCAAAAAACTGAAGATATTCCTCTCCAACAGCACGACTGAAGTCATTGCTAAACAGAAAACATAAATATTACGGGTCAAAGCTTTAACTAAATGATAATGCACAATAATTTAAGGACATTTAGCTGGATCCATAGTAAAAGGAATGAATAAGACAAAATTTGAAAAGTTGTTTTTAACATTGACTTGAGCTGAAATGGAGGAAATGATGTAATGAAAGCAAAAAAATCTTCGGCATTCGAGCCAAGTATTTAAAGAAACTTGTTAAGTTGCAGCTTATAGGAAAACAGTCACCTTTTACAACCATTAAAGCATTACTAATAATGACCTAAACAAAAACAACCTGGTTCTAAGCTTATTTTTCAGTGTGATAACATATTTTCCACAACGTATGTAAATCAAATGGGGGGAAAAAAAATTGGGTGTGAAAAGAAAGAAATCCTTTAGTCATTATATCCTGTCCAGGGTTGCTGAGTTACAAAACATTCATTTTTTTTCACTTCAGCTAAATCTGACGAAATAGAAATTAAGCCAAAGAATAGCTCCAAGAGCTATTTAGGTTTTAGTGGTACAGTGTCCTTTTGACTGGATGTACCGTCCTCTACAGCCTTCATAAAAGACCACAGGCTGGACTGAAAACATTCTTATGATGCTGAAATCTTAGAAACAATCCTAATGATATGATGGTATTTAAAAAGGAAAAAAATATGGATAATAGGTTGTACTATGAAAAGAAGCAGGCTTTTTAATATTAACTGTGGGACTACTCATATGAGTTTTATTATAAAGTCCAGAGAAGCTTTCTAAAAAATAACCACAATGTTAATTAATTATACATTATCCACAGGCAGCTCTAATATTTGTCATTATACAAAAAAAGGAAACAAAAATATGCACTAGGTTTAAAATACATTTTTGTGAAATGTAAAGGTGTTCTTACTCTTTATCAATGTGTTTCACCACATCTGCTCGTTCTACGTTGTCCAGGTTAAAGAGGCGTTCGGCGAGTTTCCGGGCCTTCTCTCTGTCCACCTCACCTCCGTTCATGAACGGCGCCGCTGGGTCGGAGGTTTCGTGTTGCCCTCCGTTTGCTACAACTTTCTGAATGTCCCCATCGTCGGTCGCCACAACATCTGCTGCCTGGTCTGACATCCCCTCCGGTTTGTCCGACGGGTTTAACTCGGCCTCCTCTGTCTCAGTCTCAGACAGCTGTTCTGAGGCGTCTGACTCGTTCTTCTCAGGTAGCGTTGGCTGAGATGACTGTTCGTCCAGCTCTGATGGTCCTGCCGGTTCCTGCAGCCGTGTGATTTCAGTTTCAACGCTAGCTGTCTGCGCTGGCTGATCAGGGTCCCCTGGTTGCTCTGGATTTTCAGATGCACAGGTTATCTGCTCCGTCAGCAAAGACTGTCCTAACGAGTCGGAATCCTTGGCTGGCTTTTCAGCCGTCTGTTGCTCCGAATCGAAGTTTTCAAGCTGAAGGATGTCCTGCGAAGCTGTTTGTTCTGAACAATTCATCTCCTCGAGATTTTCAGTCACCTCTTCTCTCTCTGGCGAGTTTTCTGCCTCCTGTGTTGGAGCTTCTTGGTTGTTCACAGCCTCTGACTGCTCAGGGTCCACATTCTGATCCACATCTTCACACATTTCTAACTCTTCAGGCTGAACATCGAGGTCTTTGTGTAACTGTACCGGTATCCAAACTTCCCTCTCCTCCCCTGAGTGTAAATGATCGTCCAAAAGCTCCGGCTCCTCCAGATCTAACGGCTGATCTGTAGCTACGTTCAGTCCAGTGTCAGTCTTTGGTTCTGCAGGTACCTCCCTTAAAATGTGAACAGAACACATGGTTATTGTTTCAGTAAATTAGCATAAAAAGCACAATGAGGTAGAAAATACTGTCAATTCAATGCAAAACTGACTCTTTTGCTTGTTTCTTTTCTTTTCCCTTTTTTTTATAGGCTTTTGTGTGAGAGGATAAAAACAGTCATTAAATTCTTTCCAGTCCATTTTGATTATGAACGCTCTATTTTACAGTCATTATTCAACACTGAATCGAAAAGCAGAAGTAGTGTATAACAATGTCCGTGTTGCTTTTATTGGAACTCAGAGGGGAAGTGACAACAAACTGCTGACAGTCAAATGTAGTTCAGATTACCTGGTTCGATGTATGTTCGCACCAATAAACAAACGGCATATGAGCATCAACACCACGTTAGCTGTCAAGCAAGGTGGTGGAGGGCTGATGGTTTGGCCCAGTTTGGCAGACGATATACCAGGACACCGTGGAGTCACTGAGCTGAACATGAAGCCCTTTTTGTATAAAGTATTTTGAAATCTAATGTGAAATGAGCTCTCAAAACTGAGAAAAAAAGAAACCACAATCTCCCTCGCTACAGCTTATTGGGCGCCAAGTGTAATAAAAAATGTCACTTAGTAACACATCTAATTATTTAGCTCATTTTCTGAGCATAAAATCCTAACATTTTCTTTAGCACACTGTTCTTTCATTTTGCTCATTTTACCTACATGTAGAATTTAAATGTTAAGTAAAATATGTAAAATTTAATTAATTGAAATTCTAAATGTAAATGTTAAATGGTAATGTTGAAATTAATATTGAAGTATTTCAGAATGGAACGCAGCCTTTGCTGGTGGTGCTCAGCTCCTCCTGTTAATAATTCATCATCCTGAGACAACAGCAACCGCTACTGCTGCTAATGTTGCTAACGCTGCTAATGTTGCTAACGCTGCTAATGTTGCTAACGCTTCCTTTAAAGGACATCAAACTCGCAGCTGTAGCCGATGTTCGAGCTGCACTTCAAACTGCTGGACCATCGGTACCATTCATTTTGTTTTCAATCAACACATTTTGAATTTAGATTTTAAATGCCATCTTTAGCATTGTTAGTAGCGTTGGCTAACCAGCAGAGGTTTATAGTGAATGAGTATATTTAATTCGTTACAGTACTTAAGTAGTTTTTTTGAGGATTGGTAATTTTACCAATTGTTTTTTAAACAGCTACTTTTTATTTCGTTACATTTTAAAGCAAAAAAAGGATACTTGTACTTCTTTACTTTAAAAAATGTAACACCTAGATACTTGTTACAAAATTAGATCTGTTCGAACTCATCATGAAAGATGTTTCTGCAATCTAAAAGATGAAGTGTTGAATTTACTCAACAGTCATGTCAACTGGCTCCACTGAGCCAGGTTGAGTAAATTCAGCAAATAATATACATGCATTGCTCAATTTACTCAACCTGGCTTAGTTGAACCAGTTTGGTTCAGTAAATTCAACAGTTTATTTCTTAATGTGTAAAAGTACTGTTAATTTTCCAATTTTTGTGAACAGTTTTATGACTTTTACTTCAGTAGTTTTCTCATCAGTGAAATTTATTTTTTACCAGTCATTTTCTGTTTTATGTAATTTTACTTATTTTTTTTCAAGTACTTTATAGACCTCTGCTAACGAAGTCATTCGTCATGCGACAGATGTCAACTTTAGCTGCTGCTAACCCTACAAACTCTGCTGAAGATGGTATTAAAAATCTAATTTCAAAATGTGATAATTGAAAACCATATGGATGGTACTTGTGGTTCAGCAGTTTAAAGTGCAGCTCGGACACCGGCTGCAACTGTGTGTTTGTCTTATTGGCAGCTTTAGCTGTGTTTGTAGCATTAGCCTTTGTTATTGTCTCAGGATGATGTCGTCCTAAAGAGTCGAGCACCAACAACATAGACTGTGTTCCATTCAAAAATACTTAAATGTAAACTTCAACATTTTAAGATTTAACTTTTGAATTTAGGATTTAATATTTACGTATATTATTTAACATTTAAATGTTGTCAATAAACTAATGTTTATTTAGTAAAAAAAATAACAAAATATAAGAATAAAATGTTAATGCGAAATATTCAACTAGGATTTTACACTCAAAATGAGCTAAATAATGAAAATGTTAGTGACTTTATTTTTCACAGTTGCCGCCCCATAACAGCCATGGTAAAATAAAACATGCAAGAAAATATGCATCATGTTCATGCCTACACTAACCTTTTTCACCCACTTTATACAAATGTCAGGAAAGTGTTAGCTGAAGTTACTGTGTTAAAGGTTGGGTCTACTTTTCTATCCAAGCAATAATAAGAAACAAAAGTTGTTCTCTTGGTGGTTATTTGTTAACAGAAATTTGCTGTTCTTCTTTTTATACTCACGCAGTTTTGAGAAAGGTGACACTTTTGGCTTCGTCACTTTCTTCCTCGTTGTAAACGTTAGTCACACTCTTCTCCTCATCCTCATCATCCTTTGCTGAAGTCTCCTCTTCCTCGTTGAAACCGTTGGTCACACTCTGCTGTTCTTGAACCTCGCTGCTGTCTTCGTTTTCCTCGTTGTCCTCAACACAACTTGCTGAAGTTTGTTCCACCTCTGAGTCGTCTTGCTCAGTCAGCAGAACGCTGACCTCTTGTTCCTCTTCTGGTTTCAAGTCTATAAAATCCTCCACAGCATCGCCTGAGCATCGGATATCCTCAGCCGTTTCTGTAAAGTCCTCTGTTGCAACAACAGCTGACTCTAAGGGACGTTCCCCATCTTGCTTTAAAACCGTCTTTGCTTGAATTTCAAGATTTGTCAGAAATGAGTGACCAAGACAAGATAGACAAACACAGATGTCCTCTCAATTCAATCAAAACATGACCAAAGATTCTGTATTTTATGTCTGTTAGAAGTGTTTATTCAACATACCGTCGTCAGTGTCTGGCTGCTCGTGTGTTGAGTCTTCCTTTTCCTGTGTCTTCGGTTCTTTCACATCTGCAGAATCACATGTCTGGAAATTGCAACACAGGCCATTTAACATTAGTTGAGAGAGAAACTTGTGATTACCAGTGAGTTCATGAAGCTGATCTCTTGAGTGTCACCTGACCAATATCATGTCTACTCAGCCTACTGCAGCAGCCAGTATTAGTAAAAGAAAACAAAGTACAGTTCAAGTTACAATGAATGAAGTGTTAAAGGAGACATATCATACTTTTAAATCCTTATTTTTCACATTTAAATCATTCAGTTGGGGTCTTTAGAAAGTGGAACTGCAATGCTTTGGTCTGAATTACTCCTTATTGTAACTCCTCAAGCCCCTCTTTCACCCCTTTTCTGAGCTGTGTCTCAGATAACTCATTTTAAGGCTGTCTCTTTAAATCCAGATGAGTTGATTCACAGCTGCACCCCCATCAGCTTCCAGAGTGGTCCATTCTAGTTTGATAGAGGGGTTTATGACTATTTAGCAGCGCAGAAGTGTTTATTTACCAATTAATTAAAAGATGTCAACAATGGAAGGCATGCCCATCCAGCCTGGAACCAGAGTCTGACCCAGAGTGAGAGGAGGATGAAAACGACCAAACTGTGGTTTGTAAGTCCAGACCTTATTTGGCAGTTTCCTCGCAAATACTTCATAATTCAGAAAACATAATAGGTAACAGAGAAACTGAATTGAAAAATATGACTCAAACAGAATATAAGATATCTTTGCAGCACCAGGAGAGACTAAACTCAAATTTTCTTCACTCCTAGAGACTCTTAAGTGCACAACAAAATGAATTTAATGACTAAAAAAGTGGATTTTGCATGATATGTCCCCTTTAATAACAAGTGTGTGTGTGTTGTGTATTTGCTACATAATGGACTAGTTTCCAGAAAAACACAGCCTTGTGGGGACCCACTGCTCCACATGGGGAACAAAGCCTGGTTCCCACGGGTACAAATGCCGATTTTGGGTGGGGGATTAAGTTTAGGCTAGATTTAAGGTCAGGTATGTACTGAGGTGGTTAGGTTTAGGGTAAAGGGTCAGGGTTAGGCTATAGAAATGACTGGGAAATAAATAGAAGTCAATGCTAAGTCCCCACAAGGATAGAAAAACCAACATGTGTGTATTCATACAAATAGATAAAGTTTCAACAGAAGCATGAAGACATCACACCCCTCTCTTGTTGTAATCCTCACATACCTGAGTGTCGTTTCCTGAGCATGCAACAGTTGAGCTCAGTAGCTCGGCATCATCCGGTTCCTCTTTGCCCCACTGCTCCAAAAGCTCAACATCAGCCTCTTGAAGCCAGTGAAACGAGGGGGAAGTGCTGATTAGACTCGTAAAGTCCAGCTCATTGGCCAAGCTGCTGTCAGTCATGAGTAAAGAAGTCTCTGTGCAGGAATCGTGCATGTCCCATTCCACTGTGGCAACAGAAATTGGAGGGCTGGTACAGGTGAAGGTCTGAGCCGACCAGGTTTCCTCACCCTCCTCTGCCTCTTCAGACACATCACCTGCCTTTGGCTCGTCTCTGAACCTCATCTGCACTTGTGTCTCGCCCCACACCATGACCTCCTTTGCTCCATTGATGCTCTGCTGGCCTGTCGAGGTCCGACACTCTTGTTCAGGCTGAGGAAGAGCTGCTTCCACACAGTCTGGCATGGAGGAGCATGCGTTTTCCTCCTCCATGAGCTCCTCTCAGCTTTGAAAGACACTTGAAGCTGTCAATCTACAAAATGTCCTCCGCTTCTGGATTAGGGGTGATCGATTTGTGAAGCGCCATTGTTGTGAGTCCTTGAGGAGAAGAGAAATACAGATTATTTAATTTAAAAATAAAATTCCAGCCAAAGCAGCATAATGATTTCCTTCAATTTGGGATTTGTTGTCTCTTGACTGTTTAGTGAACCTTCCTAACAGCGTTATCCACCAAGAAAAAAGCCTACATGCATCTCACTTTTGTAAGTTTTAACGTCCCTGTTTGTAAAAATCCCCAAAAGACATTTCTACTTCCTGACTGAAGAAATCAGCAAACAAATGAGCGAGGGAAACGGGTTGAGAATGGAGGCGAAGGGTGGGGTTAGAGGGGCTGCTTTGGCGGGTAGCTCAGCCGTTTTCGTCCTCTGTTTATCGTTTTTTTATCACCACTTTAGCACCGGCCGACGGATAAAACCATCTGAAACCCCTGAACTGCGTGTTGTCAACACAAACAGATCATCTTTCCCCAACAAACCATAAACATATTACGTCTCATCTCGCTACATTTTAACTTGTGCTACCATTTTACGATCTTTTTCCTTTTTAATCCACACATAAATTTTCTTTTTTCTTTTCTTTTTTTTTCTAAAACTTTCTGTCTATCTGAACTTATTCTATTCACGTCACAAAACCCAACATCCGGGACAGACCCTGACCACGTTTCCTGTGTGGGTGCTCATTTCTCAGTTCCTGTCAGGGTGCAAATTAGTGCTTCAGCACAGGAGCTGAAAATGAACACAGCAAATCGTATGCAATTAACTTACACTGTAACATTTAATATAGATCTTATTTTCAAACAGTTATGTTTAGAGGGCTTCTTTGTGAGAATTAAATAGATTAAAATAGAAAATGAAGCAATAACATTTCCATAAAACCTTGAACCATCTCCAATTTGAAGCTCTGATCTATACTGTATAAACTAAAAGTGTTTCAAGTGGAAACAAAGCTGTTCTGCAGGGTGAGATGGTATCTTCTCCAGAACTGTTGTCATTTAAAACTAGAAGAATTCCTCACAGGAGTGTGAAGCTTTCTAGAAAGGATTTCTCGGATTTAAAATGAAAATAATCACAAAAACACAACAGGAAATGCCAAACATTGTAGACCTTATTTAACACTGCAGGCTAAAGGGAAGTTGCAGCTAAGCTTGGTAACTTTCTACAGCACATCACAGGTTTAGGAAGTGCAAATATAAAGAGTCATACCTGAGTGTACGAAACACGAAAAAAGAGGAGCGAGCACTATTCAAAGACGTGAAGTTATTTCTCAATGAGAATTGTTAGCGAACTGAGCAAAAATTTTGAAGAGAGATCTGTTTCAGAAGAATCTGTTTGACAGTAAAGCATGACTTACCCCCTCCAGGTGCTAAAAAGCAACATCTTATGATCAACCAGCTTGTGTGGTTTGAAGTCAAGACGTGTGGGAGGGAAAAGCAACACGGCGTCTTTACTGCTGGGAGTTCACTCACACTGAAGCACACCGGTAACACTAAACTGATGGTGTTTGAACTTGCTACACCTGACAAACAAACCACACGTCTGCTGGCGTTGGGCTGGGCGACCTTTCTGTCACACAAAGGTGCACGGAAGTCCTCGTCCTTCTTTTTTTAAGCGTCCTGTCCATGACGGTACCTGTGTCTTCCTCAGAACTCTTAGCTGATGGCAAGTTACAGGAAGGATGAGAGAACTGTCCTGAGTTGTAGCAACAAGGAAGAAAAGCTAGTTTCTGATTGGCAGATGATACCTGAGAGGCCTTGGATCACGCCCACAACCCCGGAGGCATGCAAGCACACACACAGGCCAGGTAAGGGGAGTGGCTCGACTTCATTCCTGCAGACAGTGTACACACACCAGGGACAAGTGGTAAAACCAGACAGTAGATTTAAAATTTTCACCACCTTGGCCTGCTTCGATTGGTCCACAGGATTCACACTGAAAAGCCAGTTGAACACATGCACCAATCATGACACGAAAAGAAACCAACTGGATCCTTCGGTTAAAAATACTGTAAATCTGACATTCTTCTAGTAAAATGTAATGGAGCAATCAAGTTGCAGCATGATGCCAAATAGTAAATATATGCAATAGTATGCATACACACACAAGCCCAAGCACATTAGTACCTGCAAAATGTGTAATAAACAGTTACTGCACACTGGTCAATGCTGCACAATTTACTATTACAATGCAGTTTATTTTACCTTTTTTATTTGAGTAAATTTTACAGAGAATTTTTTTTTTAAAGGTAACTATGTAAAAGCTATAAATTTACCAAACTCATTACTCAAGTATTTCTACTTATTACTGCAACTGATGTTTTAAATGCATTAATGCTCAAGTTTTAGTTTTGGGGGAAAACGAGCATATTAGCTAATTAGCTTAGCATTGATTAGCTAATTGCTATTATTCTGTATTACGAGTTTTAGAAAGGCTAGTAAATAAAATATTATAAACTTACATTTCTTACATTTTTAATATTACGTGTTATTTGTAATATACTTTTTCTAATAGTTATATACTCAAAATTTTGGCATTAACTTTTTGGAAATTCCTCAAGTTGTAGTCTACTTGTTGCAGTATAACCATATTTTTATAGGAAGTTGGATTATTTTAGACAAATCCATAATTCAAAATTTACTTGCCAAAAAGGACATTACTTTTCTTCATATTTCACACACTTTTTCTTTCCGACATTCCTCTAAATCTACAAAAGACACGACTCTCATTTGCTTACCGTACTTTATTCCAGCTGTTTTATCTCCGTGCCAGCAGGGGGCGTGCTTCAGGTCTGAGTGGGAAAAAAAGGCCTTTTCCTCGTTCTTTTCTTTTGTTGGTTCCGCACACGGCGGCAGCCAGAGCTTTAAAAAGGCTGTTTTTTTTTTTCTTTTCTTTCCTTTTCTTTTCTTTTTCCACCCCTCCAGGGACGTTTAACTTTTTTCAGACCCGGCGGGTGGTGAGGTGCTTGCAGTCTGCAGCTGCGCTGAAAAACATGGACAAGTCGAGTGAGCTGAAACTATTCCTGGAGTCGTCGCTGAACTCGATTTTCAAAGCGACCGTGAACGAAATCCTGGACTCGGTGGAGCGGACACTGTCCGAGTATCAGGGCGCGATGCAGAGGATTCAGTCTGAAAACGAGGGCCTGAAGCGGCTGCTGTTTGCACAAAAGAGTCCCGAGTCCGCTGACGGTGGAGGTACGTTCTGCTCAAATCGGTCCACGCAGAAGCTGCAGCTTCGCTCTGACTTTTTTTTTTTAAACTTGGTCTCTGCATGTTTTTTGATCGCTATCGCCCGCCGCCATTAAAAGGCAAGAGACAGTTGAATTTTGCTGTCTTGTCAGTGGGTGTGTGCATGCGGGTGTAACCGCGTTTGCTTGTCTGTTTGCAAAATATTTGATAATGAACCACTTGGCCGGTTTTAATGAGTCTGAGAATGCAATCAGTGGATAAACGCCTACAACTAATTAACTTTTGGAGTCAACCCGATTCAAGATGGCCGCCAGCTAATCGACCTTAGCTACCGAAAATATGGCTACAAATCTGTCAAATTTAGAGCTTTTGAGATGAAATTTGGCGTATTAGCTGAAGGACTTCCCAACCCATATTCTGATTAAGATTAACGTCATGCGAGTCTTTTTATCATCCACGGCCTGGCTTTCCTCGTAGGCCTTAGTTGAATGCTAGGAATCCTCATTTAATTAATATGTCTGCATCAGTTCAGCCGCAGCTGAGATATGGAAACTGCCTAATATGTAAATACACTGATTTAGAGCTATACGAGGGTGAAATAAAGTGGGAGTCACTTATTTATGTACTATCACATTTATGACAGCTAATCACTGTAAAGGATTGCGTATCACCCGTCCCGTTGCATATGAAAACGTCACAACAGTATGATCTTGTTGGTTCTGTGTTTGGGATTACTCCCAGCTACTACAACTGCAAGTTTTAGCTCAATATCTAAAACAAAAAAAGACTTGAGTTGGGGGCATTTTTTGGATTGAGGTCCTTTTTAATTGAATTAGGGTGACTCCGAAATGTATATGTCCACATACACTCCTGATCAAAATCTTAAGACCAGTSAAAAAAGTGCAAGAATTTGCATTTTGCACTATTGGATCTTAAGAAGGTTCTAAGTAGAGCTTCACAATGTTAAAAGAAGAAATCAGTGCAAGAGACAAGAACTTTTGAGCAGGGAATTGTCTGAAAACTGCATTTACACTCAAACATGATTTTTTTCAGCTGATCAAAAGTTTAAGACCATAGTCTTTAAAAGCCAAAAGCTGTGCAAACATCTGGATTCCATGTCATTTTCTGTCAAGTCTTTACACTGTCAYGACCTCCTGATGGCAAAAGTAAAAAAGCTCACTGACTTTGAACCTGGTAGGATTGTTGAGCTGCATAAGCAAGGCCTCTCACAACGTGCCATCGCTGCTGAAGTTGGACGCAGTAAGACAGTCATTTTGCATTTTTAAATGATCCTGAGGGTTATGGAACAAAAAAATCAAGTGGTAGACCCAAAAAAATTTCACCAGCTCTGAGCCGCAGGATCCGATTGGCTGTCCGTCAGTCAAGACACGGGACGGTCCTCTACCCAAATTAAGGCCATTACTGGTGCTGACTGCAGCCCAATAACCATCAGACGGCATCTGTGAGAGAAGGGCTTCAGAAACAAAAAACGTCTTCAAAGGCCACGTCTTCTTCAACGCCACAAAATTGCCCGTTTGGACTTTGCAAGGGTGCACCAAACATGGGACATTGAAAGGTGGAAGAAAGTTGTCTTCTCTGATGAGAAAAAATTTAACCTTGATGGTCCTGATGGCTTCCAACGTTACTGGCATGACAAGGAGATCCCACCTGAGATGTTTTCTACACGGCACAGTGGTGGGGGCACCATCATGATTTGGGGTGCGTTTTCCTTCAATGGAACAATGGAGCTTCAGGTTGTGCAGGGGCGTCAAACAGCAGCTGGCTATGTGGAGATGTTGCAGCGGGCATCCCTCATGACTGAGGGCCCTCGTCTGTGTGGTAATGATTGGGTTTTTCAACAGGACAATGCTGCAGTTCACAATGCCCGCCTGACAAAGGAGTTCTTCCAAGAGATTAACATCACTCTTTTGGACCATCCTGCATGTTCCCCGGATCTAAACCCAACTGAGAACATTTGGGGATGGATGGCAAGGGAAGTTTACAAAAATGGACATCAGTTCCAGACAGTGGATGGCCTTCGTGAAGCCATCTTCAACACTTGGAGCAACGTTCCCACTAGCCTCCTGGAAACACTGGCATCAAGCATGCCTAAACCATTGTTTGAAGTCATCAACAAGAGTGGTGGAGCTACTCATTACTGAGTCCTTTTATTGACACTTTGATTTCTGTTTTGGGGGGTTTTCGGGTTGTTGTTTTTTTTGAGCTATGGTCTTAAACTTTTGATCAGCTGACAAAATCATGTTTGAGTGTAAATGCAGTTTTCAATTAATTCCCCACTCAAAAATTTCTCTTACGCTGATTTCTTCTTTTAACATTGTGAAGCTCTACTTGGAACCTTCTTAAGATCCAGTAGTGCAAAACGCAAATTCTTGCACTTTTTTGACTGGTCTTAAGATTTTGATCAGGAGTGTGTTTTGAGGATTTCCTTAAAAATCAACTGATTCATAAGAGCTGATGCTAACAGTTAAGCATGCCAACAGAGGCAACTACATGATCACTACTATGATGGGGCTGGGCAATAAATCAATATTAAATTGCCAGTGCTGGGCACAGTTCCATTAAAGCACTAATAGGGGATCTAATTTCCTTATTAGTGCTTTAGGGCTTTTGCTAATTGCTAAATTTATTAGTGGATTAGCACTTGCTAAAGAAACACTAAGGTCTATAAATGTTATTGATCAACGTTAATGTTAACAGCTGAGGGTGAAAGCTGTCACATTTTGTTCATATGTGTGTCACTAAACCACTAGGTGACATATTGACAATAGATGAACCCAAATCCAGCTGTGGAATATCAATGATGAGTTTTAAGAGAGCAACATGTCAATATGTGACTCGTGTTGTCTGTTGAAGAATGTTCATGTGTTGACTGGGTTATTTTAGTGCTTTAGAATTAGCTTTTGCAAAAATTTTCTGTGTTTGTGCTTTAGAATTAGGGGACCTAAATGTTTGAGTTAGTGTTTTAGGGCTAGTGGAACAAATTTTTAGATTAGTGCTGCCCACCACTGTGTATTGCGATAGACTTGTGCTCAATTTCAGTAGAAAATAATAATATATCGTGACAGAAACATAATCGATATCAATGAAAAAATTGTTCAGTAGAATTTCGATAATGCCACTGAACTCTGATCCAGAACTGCACATCATGTATGTAGGCTTTAGTCGCTCTACCTCTCATGGCCCAGCTAAGCAACAACCTGTTGAGTAACATGCACAGTACCAGCTCCTTGTTTCACCACTGTGCCTCATAACTGCTTAGAAATAAAAAGAATTACATAGAGGAAAACCTTTTTTTTCCTCCTCGTCCTTATTTCAAAGAGGTTTAAATAATTATTTATCAACTGATATGCAAAGCTTTTATCGTGATATATTATTCAGCTACATCACCCAGCCCTAATCGGTTCATTTCAATGGTTATAGTTTGCAGCCAAAAGATTTATGCGATTTTAAAAAAAGAAAAACTGCAAGTATTTCCTGTAACACAGCACTGTTCCTACTGTAACGGTAGTGCTCTGCATACTAATGTTGTAAAAGTCTTTAAATCATTATTTGTAATTTTAATAATATGCCGGAGTGGCTCTTACACATTTAGACTTTTTTTTAATTAAACCCTTATAAATCAGTTTAATGTTAAAGTCACCAATATGTGAACTTGTGTTTACTTTATAACTGTTGTAAACATTGCAAACATCAGCTCTGCACCTTCATGTTGTATGTGTGTGCTAGAAATAGTAATTTATCTAAAAGACAACAGACTTTCATTGTTGGGGTCCTCCAAAAAAACCTTTCACGTACCTTTTTATGAACAGAACCTCGTTCAAGCAGGTGTATTTATATCGCCCAGACCAGCTGAAAAAACGGGTTGCACTAATTATTATTAACATAATAATAATTTAGAGCATATGTTCTCAAACTACAGTCCCAGGGGTCCGCGAGCTGTGTCTTGAGGGTCCTCAAAAAAAATTCGTTAAATTGTTAATTTGTTTTTTTTATGCATATGGGGAATAAGGCACTAGTAAAACAAACATATTAAACTAAACATATTTTTACCATGGCATTTAAGGGTTAAAATTACAAAAATTATTAACAGCATGGGGTTTGTGAGGGGTTTTTTTTTCACCCTTGTAAGGGGTCCCCAGACCCAAAAAGTTTGAGAACCCCTGATTTAGAGTGTGAAAACTGGTGTTACTATCATCACTGAACTAGGTATAAGAGGTAAGAAAGACATTGAAATCTGCATCTCAGCTCAACAGGTAAATGCAGGCTGGAAGAAGAAAAATAAAAACGTGGGTATGCGTAGGTTTAAGCAGGTATCACATAATTAGCAGTTTGTATCTCTTTAAAAGTCAGTATGAATTTTGGATTATGTGAAACTTCTTATAGATCAGTTCATTGTGGTTAGAGCTCCCTCTAGTGGAAATGAATATTTCCACTATTGCAGTCAGTTTGTTTAGGTTTGTCACATCTGTAGGTTTATCAAATATTTTTGCAGCTATCAAGATAAATTTTTTTTAATCTGTTCTTTATTCTTGCTTCCAACTTTTAGATTCATGTGAACAAGATGCCACTGAGCAGTTTACCGCCCCGGAATGGCCCGATCAACCCTCCAGCTCCTCCCAGGGAACATTCAAGGTGTCCATATGCAGCAGCGACAAGAAGAGCTCCAGGAGGAAAACTAAAGGCAAGATTAGGGAGAGTCCAGTCTCTGCTTCGTTTGACGTGCAGGCAGATCAAACAGGTGAACAACCGTGTGCCAACACATCCAACGAAATCTCACTTCCTGTAAACCCACAGTCTAGCATGAATGAAAATGGAGCCATTGACCTGTCGCAGCCAGCGTTGTTTTTTGACATGATGATGAAGTCCATGCAGACTGATGGAAACTTCATTAAGACTGAAGATGAGGAGACGGAGGCGCTGCCTGTTCCTGATGGTTTGCCTCAACCACAGCTGAAGCAGGAGCCTGATATGGATCCAGAGGAAGGCAGCTCACAGGAGGTGGAGCGGGAAGAAACGTCTAATCACAGCGATTCGGCGGCGGATGAGTTTCTAGGAAAGGGTAGCATCATTTTTAGCTGTGCCGCCTGTCCGGAGACTTTTACAGACGAAACGTCGCTCAATATCCACCTCAAGACTCACAGCGGCGAGGAAACCCACGACTGCAGCATCTGCGGAAGACGCTTCGGTCGGATCAACCTCCTCAAATCCCACATGCGCTCCCACTCGGGAGGAAAAGCCTTCATCTGCAACATCTGCAACAAAGCATACACGCACGCCCGGCAGCTCAAGATCCACAAGAGCAGCCACACCGGAGAGAAGCCGTTCTCCTGCTCGTTCTGCAGGAAGCGTTTCAGCGCGCACAACCTGCTCAAAGCGCACATGCGGACCCACACCGGAGAGAGGCCCTACGTGTGCCGGCAGTGCGGCAAAACCTTCAGCAACCCGGGGAACCTGTGCATACACAGGAGGCTGCACACGGGCGAGAAGCCGTACTGCTGCGCCCACTGCGACAAACGGTTCAAAGTCCTGGGCGACCTGAAGATCCACACCAGGACCCACACGGGAGAGAGGCCGTACAACTGCGAGATCTGCAAGAAGACCTTCAGCCAGATGAGCCACGTCACCATCCACATGAGGATCCACACGGGAGAGAAGCCGTTCAGCTGCGCCTACTGCACCAAGAGCTTCAGTCGCTCGGGTCACCTGAAGAGACACGAGCTGCTGCACACCAAAGAGACACTGTTCCCCTGTGCCCAGTGCGGGAAGGCCTACACCGACAAGTCCTCGCTCAAAAAGCACATGAAGTCGCACGCGTCCAAAGAGCTGAAGGAGCAGAGCGAGGTGAGCACCAGCGACGCTGCAACAACAACAAAGCTTGAACCTTAACCTGAACTGTTCCCAGACACCATCAGAATCCAAGTTGAGATGAGGAATCAAGTCTGAGTATGAAATATGGCTAAAATACACTTTCATTCAGTTTGAAGTACTTAAAATGGATATTTTTCAAATACTGTATTGTTTTTGTCAAAGTCTTGAAATGGAGTAAGTGGTTGCTTCTGTCTTTTGTGTGTGTGTGTGTGTGTGTGTGTGTGTGTGTGTGTGTGTGTGTGTGTTCACAAATTAGATTTCTGGCTTCTGAAAACTTTCGGGTTTTAATCTGTTTAAACTGGATTAACTGGAATATTTGCCATATTTCAATCTAAAACAGAGGTGGGCAACAGACTTTTCCGGAGGACCTTTTATGATTTATTGAAAATGATTGTAGTCACATTGGGCCCAATCATGTTTCCTGCATCTATCATATAGAAAAAAAAATCACTTTCATGCGTGACATTTGTTGCGTCTTTGATAATTGTTGATTGCTTTGTAAATATGCTCTTTCTGATACATGTCTATGGTTTGAAATCACCCCCCCCCCCCTTTCTGTTTTTACCACTAAGGACAGGTTTGTAGAACATATGACATTCTTGATTGGAATATATTAACTCATTCAGCATATTATTATACAGTTATTTCCTGTGAACAGACACTAGGAACAGTTCATTTAATCAATTCTTTGTTAGGGGGGCTGCAATTCCTGGTAGGTGCAAACATTAAATTTAACTATGCAAAGTTTAGGTCAATGTAATGAACAAGTTTCAAAGGTGGTCTTTAATTAACCATGCAGAGCATTAAGAACAGATTCTTATTTACAATGCTGATCTGGCAAACATTCATTCATTTCTTGTCAATATTCACTAAGTAACTAGTAGTTATCAATCATTTTGTTCAAGGATGTCAAAGACCAGATGACAAACATGGTACAGTGATCACTTCTGGACCTTAGACTGTATTTTGACCATGTTTGCCTTAAAACCAGTGCTTAGAACAGACTGAGTGGGATAGAGAATATTTTTATTTGACAGTTTTTTTTTTCCTGTGTTAAGTGACCTATCATGGTTAAAGCTGTGTCACATAAGAGCAAATCTTGCACAACTCAGCCTCAAACTTGGATATTTTACATTCAGAGCTTTAAACACAATAAAATGAATGTTTTTTTTTTAATTTAAATAATTATAAACAATTGTTTTATCCAATAACCACAAGTCAGTTATTTGGTTTAAAGCATCTTTTCCCAAACATTTCAGCTTCTGACCTACAAAATGTGAGCAGCAGAACCTTATGACAGTTTGTCTTAGCCAAGAAACAAGAATTATGACAAAAACTGTCCTGGTATAGTTGAATTATGGCAACACATTTTATTTTGTATTAATTATTGCGAACAAATGTAGTTTGCAATTATTTCTAAGTTAAATTTGTTTTTGGCAAACATCTCAAGACCTGTAACATTTTTATTTTTATGACCCATAATTAGGGCTCTCAACCCCAACTTGGCCAACCACTGGTTTAAACATTTACTTGTTTAATTACCAGCTAAAGCTTGTAAGTTCCAAAGAAGCTACAAAATGAACCTTGATTGAAGATTTAATTCAGGCTGAAGTTTGGTCATAAAGCTGTAGTTGTTCTAGTTCAATGCACTGCTGCTGTTCCGTAGTTTCTAAGTGTTGGCACTGTTACATGAATTATAACTTCATTGGAAAGCTCTGCTGATCATGTTTCTTTGTGCACAATAAATCGGTACAGATAACTGTTCTGTGGATGGTTCTAGCACTAAATTATAATGGTTGTAGTTGCAAAGACCAACACTTATATTCTGGCATCAGGTAACTTGTTTTAACACCTAATCAAAGTAGTTTAAGACAACCAATAAAAAGCTGTAAATAATGACAGTGTAAGATTAGCAGATCCATCAAAATGCACATATCGAATGCGCTTAGTGTTAGTGACAGTGTTGCTGTAAATATCCTGTATCGATCACATGCGTTCAGATTAATGGCAGTTTCTGTAAGTACTGTGGAACTTTTTCAAGATGTGAAGTTTAATAGTAATACCACAAAATATGGACAATTTTTATATCATTTTTTGAGACCTTACATCTTCAGTTTGTCGTGGCAGCTGGTTGATGTATATTCTGTAATGTTTGCAAACGCATGAATTACAGTACAGTTAGTCTTTACTCATAGACTTTGTGATTTGATGTGAACTGTGTCTGAATTAAAGAAATATGTTAATCCCAAAATACCGTCCCTTTTTTTAATTCATGTTCTGACTTTGAAAAATCAGGAATCAATCAGTAACCTGCGTTATTCAATTCAATTTACTGAGTCCAGAACTGTGATGTCTTTTCCAGTGGATGTGGACTGAAGGGGTTAATGTGAGGTTTTCCTCTGTCATACATTATTTTTGTTTGATTTTTCAAGAAATTAAAAAAAATACATTTGTAGCACATCTTTAACTCCATATTCAATCCTGACAGAAAAATGTAAAGTTGACGTTGCTAACTAAAAATTACAGAGCCTGTCCAGTGACATTGAATTTAATAAATTAATACATGACCTTTAGATAATTATTGCAGTCATTTCCATGCAGAGGAAAGAGGAGGTGTTGCATTCAAGAACAGTAAAAAAAAAGTTTCCCGACACACCTAGGGTGTTCATTTGTCATCTCATAAATACTATGAAAGACGTGGTTGTACATAAAAAGAACTCAAATGTTTTCCTTTAGCTGCAGCTTGCTAACTAATAGAACCCTGGCCTGATTAGCAACTTTTTTTTCCACATACTAATGGTGTCTTTCTGAAAGTGTCTGTTTTTAACAAGGAAACACTGAAAATATGAGGTCAAAGATTGATCTCACATATGCGTTTAAAATGATTATACAAGATTTTAATAAATTATTTAAATATTGACAATGAATGCCGTAATTGGCTATAAATTGAAGAATAAAACAAAGTAAACCATTACCACTTAATTTAGAAACAAACAGACTCATATTCAGTAAAGATTCTTATGTAAAGAAAACTGATAACTAAGACTTCAGCTCATATGTAATCTCTGTTATTTAGTTGAGATTATTTATACTTTTGCTAAACTTGTGCAAATTTATAACAGAGCTTTAAGCAAAGAACTTAAAAGTTTTTGGGAGTTTTTTTGCAATTAAGTTTAATTTGTTCGAACAAGGCACAAACTGATGACTCGTTATTTAGTTGAAGGTTCCATGATGGCCAGCACCAGATGCCGTTTTGACAGTGAAGCTGTGAACTCAGCTATAACACAGGTAGCGTAAAGGCACAGTAGTTACAATTGTTCATATTCATGTTTTCAGTGGTCCCTGCTGATGTTCAGCAGCTGGTGTTGATTCCAGAACATGTTCCTGAAAAAGAGAGGCCTGGTGTTGACCAGCAGAACCCAGTGCCCTGCCATGTGAAGGAGGAGGAGGGAGAAATCTGCACCAGTCTGGAGGAAGAGTAGCTCAGTGTGAAGGAGGAGACTGAGGAAAAGCCACTGTTGTCACACCTTCAACACCAAGTGGATGGTCTCCGCCCTGTGTGGATCAACGTGTGCGTTTAGAGTAACTTACCCCAAAATTAACTTTTTTAGCAGATAAACTGTTTAGAATGTGTCTAAAAGGTTATATAGTACTGTTTCTGTGTTAATTTTGATGTTTTTGTGCGTATTTGTTCAAATCTGTAATATTTTGTCTAAAAACGTCTTTTTGCTGCTCATATGGGTAGAGCAGTGGTACTGCAGGCTAATTTGCATATTGGTTAACGGCTCTCCWCTGTGACGTGTCTTCTCCACGGTTTCGTCACAGCGGCTGTGTTCTGGTATAAYAGCCTCGCTCTAAGACACGCCCCTGCAGCAGTCAGAGGGTGGAACAGTTAGCTAGCTTAGCATGATCGTCTGTTGACCTTCAGCCTCGGGTGGGGAGAGCTAAATCCTGCCCCCTCCACACACACACACACACACACACACACACACACACACACACACACACCAGCAGTACGTCCTGCACAGCAGGAGGGGAAAAAAGGCAGAAGGGCAGCTGCAGCCAAAGCGGACCGAACTTCAGTCAAACAAGACCCAACACTTTTATTCATGTTTTAAACTAGTGATCTTGTAAGCAGCTGTATGCTTTTATTTTTCTCTGTCAGGCTGTCGCGGAGCACTGCACCTCCTCTGTCCGAGGCTGGTGTGGTGTGAGGCGGACAGCTCAGCCGAGGCTGCTGGAGCTCCAGGTCCTGATCAGCGGAGCCAACATGAGTCAGTCCCAGACTGAGCTGACTTGATCAAGTCTCTCTCTGCCTCTGGTGAGGACGGGGGTCAAAAATCCTCCACTTCAGACTGTTTAGAGATGTAACTATCTGCGATACTGTGGTCACTCTCAATGTAGCATCAGTTATGCTAATGCTAGCTGCCTGTCGCGTTCTCTCGTCCTGGCCACACCTCCGCTCTCTAACCCCCCTCCCCTACCCACACCCCCTCCCCTACCTACTTTGATGCATTTTTCTAATTTCGCCATGGGGTGGAGTTATCTTTTCACAGTGGGGTAAGATACACTTTAAAGTAGCATTTTGGTGGAATCTTCACAAATATTACAAGCATATGGTTTTTGCCCTGTGTGGATCATCGTGTGTGTGTGTGTGTGTTACTTTTGTGGCAAAATATTTTACCACAATCATCACAAGCAAACGGTTTCTGCCCCATGTGGATCAACACGTGTGTGTTTAAAGTAGTCTTTCGGCGATATGTTTGTTCACAAACATTGCAAGCATATGGTTTCTGCTTTGTGTGGAGCATTGTGTGTCTATTTAGGGTCATGATAAATCTTGTTTTGCTGCCACCTGCTCTGCCTGTCACTGTTTCCATCTGGTTACCAGAGCTGCTAGTTGGGAGATTTCTACCAAACATGTCGCTCATCAATCTGTCATCAACTTAAAGTTCCAGCTCAACTATAAATGCGTATTTTTTTCTGATTTTTGACTTTAGTTTGGTGCCAAGAAACCCACAAATTCATCAGCAGCAGTGGACGCCGGCAGCAGGGCGGAGAACATAAAATGACAGACATAGCTCTAAATCACGTTTGTGCTTCTATCATTAGGGTTATATTAGTTTCTATAAACTTCTGTAGCCTTACAGTAAAACTAAACAAACTCAAATCACACTAAACCTAGTAACCATATTAGGTCCAAGCTCCAGTCCCTCAAATGGAATGCTAGTTTTACCAGTTTAGTTTTAATGAGTGTGATGGACCAAATAGTCAAGGACAAGAGAACATGAGCTAAAGTCCAAAAATATTATTTATTTAACACAGACTTTCTAAGTAACTATCAATAAATGTCACATTTACAAAACCTGGCCCTTAAAAGAGGGGTCTTTGATTATCATAAATAACAAAACAATGTAAATTCAACCTGTTCATTCAGAATACAAAAGGTGCACATTAATGTTTCCTAAAGCCTAGGAAGGCCTCTATACTAGAGTAATCTAAAATCTTTTAAAAACATGATAAAGTCAACACAAGTTTCTTTCTCCTGTAACTACAGATGTTTTTCGTGCTGCATGAGGTCACCTCACAGCAGAAAGGTTCTTGGTTCCAGTTCCAGCTGAGGTGTTTCTGACTGGAGTTGTTCTCCCTGTTCTTCTTTGGGATTTGCTCCTGGAACTCCTCTAATCAGAGATCTGGTTCACACTCTTTGATATGGTCCTGACCCCTTGGGACTCTGAACTGGATAAAGCAGAAAAGGAAAATAAAGAAGAGTACTTAGTTACATACTCAAACATCAGCATACTGTATATGTCTTACTTGTTTTGTTCTGTGTTGGCCTGGCAGCAACAGAGTCTCCATGTCAGCTTTTCTTTGAACAGGTAGAGCATGGGTTGAATGGTGCTGCTGAAGTCCATCAAGCCAAAGGCCACATAGTGAATGTAGCAGCGGAACACGTCAGGGGAGAACTGGTTCTGGAACGGAAACAGTGCAACAGGAGGGAAGTAGTTGAACACGATTATGGCCAGGATCACGAGGACCATCCTAAAGGCCTTCTTCTTCACAGGATGCATGGTGTCCTTGCCGGGTCCAGACTGCCGCAGGGCCCAGAGAATGGCCACGTTGCAGAACACCATGAAGGCGAATGCTGTGAGGATCATCACCGTGAAGACCTTATCAAAGTTCATGATGTTGCCCACGCATTTCAGGGAGGCGTAGACGAGAATGATGAGCCAGACCAGGAAGGCCAGGACTGTTCTGTGGTTCTGGTCCTTGAGTGCAGTGAAGGTGATCGGGTGGATCACAGCCACGTAGCGATCCAGGCAGATGCAGGACAGAAAGAGCGGCGAGCAGTCTTTGATGCCGTAGACGAAGTGCAGGACGTACCAGGTGGCGTCTATGGTGAGGAAGACGAGGTCGACCAGCTCCAATGGAGGGATTAGACAAAACAGCACGTCCAAAACCGCCAGATGAAAGATAAAGATGTCTGAGGTGGAGGAGTCGCCCTTGTTTTTGTGGATGAGCCACAGGACCATGAGATTGGCCGGGACGCCCAAGAACATGTTGGTAAACTGCAGAATGAGATACCAGATGAAGACTGCGGGCATTTCCCTGCAGCTCTCGTAAACCGTCTGCTTCACGGTGAGGTTTGGAGGTCTGTGAGAGATGAAAATCACAGAGGAGTTGAAGTCTGAAACGTCCATGTCAGCCAGTCGGATCGTCTGGAGAATCAAAGATCTGTCAGATAAACAGGAAAAGCATGAACTGTTAGCACACACACGAAATGAAACTCATGAGTAAAGTTTCTCAGAAAAGTCCCACTGATAGACATGATGGGTGGAAATCTTAGTTCTTTTTTTATTCCTTTAGCAGAAAAATTCACATTTTATAAAGGAAAAGGCAAACAAATTTTACACAAATTTATATTTGATTAGATCTTACTACTAACCAAAAAAACAAATTGCCAGATCACTGAAACAAAGCACAAACCAGGAATATAAAGACAAACTAATGTACTGAAACCACTGACACCTGTGCAGGGACAACCAGATCAGGTGCAGGTGGGTGTGGCAGAAACAGAAGCAGGAACAAAGTTGAAACCCAACAGAGGACAAATTATCCATAAATACCATAAATACACAAAGCAGAATACAAAAAGGAATAACTAGCAAAAAAAAAAGTACAAGTCTTGACATACATTGCTGTGAAGGTGTGAATTTTCATAGGCAAATTTAATTTTATGTTCAGCTGACCTTAACTGAAGACTAGTTCCTGTAACATCAATTGGTAGTAACAATTTTCCATTTTTTGTTTCTTCATTAAACCTCAGTTAATTTCAATCAATTTGATTAATTTTTATCATGGGATGTAGTATTTCATTTTTATTTCATTTTAAAAATCATGCAAAATCACCAAAATAATAATAATAATAATAATAATAACAAGAATAATAAATTTTTAAAAAGCACAAAAAGCTGTGTGGGTGATTGCTTCTAGACTGACCTTTTAACCTTTTAACAAATTCATTTAGCTCAAACAGTATTTGCAACACATACATTACTTCTCTCAAACACCAAAAATTTAAAGCATATTTTTTCAACACTTATACTGTAAAAACTACTAAACCGTAAACTTGAGAATAAGCAATTGGATCAGATCCATTTAATACTATGATACTCCTTAATGTATATGATATACAGTGGAATGTGGTGTTTAATTTTAATTTTTTAAATGCGACATAAAAAATGTGTACAATACTTTACATTGAAGCCTCTGTAAAAGCAGATTATGTTCCTGTGTAGCTTTTAATTTGTAACGGCAGCTCTTACCTTTAAGCGGCTCCCGGTCTGGTGTGAACTGATCTTCTCTGAACTTCTCGGTGCAACTGTTGTTGCCACACTTCATTTCCTTCTCAGAGCTCAGCTTGTCACAGAACAGAATAACTGCAGAAGGCATGTAAATGAACAGTCTGTAAAGAGAGCCACTTCTGCTGAAGTACATGTTTGTATGGAGTGCGAAAACACAGGTGTCAAACTTCGGTCATCGAGGCATGCTATCCAGCATGTTTCCATATTTACCTGATAAAACTCATCTGATTTGCATGAATGAATGACTTACGTAAATGTACTTTATTTACAGGCTTCTACAGTATTTGAATAGGTAATTGAATCACCGAATCAGATGTGTTGGAGCAGAGAAACAATAAAGAAATTTGACACCCCTGTTCTAGACCTCCACCAGCTGCAAGACTTTCCCAGAACACAAATATTTCCATCAAACTGTAAAATTTCTGAAGTCAGAATCATCAGTAACACTCACCTGCTCTTGGGGATCCTGAACGCTTTCCACTCTCACTCCTCTGTGCTTCTTTGTGAGCAAATCTTGTTCCCCTTCCTCCCCAAAACTCGAAATGAGCATCTCTTGGATTGTGAGCCAACACTTCAGGGATCTGTCAGATCGTCCAATCAGAGCGTTGAGTTGAGGGTGTGGAAGCTGAGGATCTCCCTCTGGATGTCATGGCGACTTTAATCTGACCGCCTGTACATTGGACATATTTGATATTAAAATACTTAACGTTGATTTATAAACTGATAAGGTGATAAAGCATATTGGTGGGAAAAAACAAAAAACAGCTATCCACAGGAAATAAGTGTGGGTGGGGAACAAAGAGGAAGGAACAGACATGTTGTGGCTCTCAGTTCACACTGATTGATAATGATGCAACAAACCTGACGGAAAATCGGAGGTAAACAACTGATGCAACCGTCCTGAAAACCAGATCTGATTAAATTCCCTGTAACTCTGTGTAACATGTTACAGGAGGCCGACATGTTTCAAGGGCCTACGCCTGTTTTAACTGTGATTAACTGTCACAAGCTTGACCTTTGACCTTTTACCAACAAATCCTAGTAGGTTGAAAAGGCTGTTCTGTAGGAGTCACTGTGTAAAACCTCTACACCAAAACAACAGTAAACACTGTTAATGTTTTCACTTTATTAAACTTTACGGTTCCGTCATCCATCCTCTCTTTTTCACTGTCCTGTCGGTTCTATTTGCCGTCACAGTGTGACTTTTTGAGGAGGGTTCAGGCTGTTTGACTAGTTTTATTGCCACAGTTCAACCCTGGTTTATTTACTTTTGTCTGTTTATATCTGAATTGCTTTGCCTTTCACAGCAGCACATCACAAACAACTATAACACATTTTAAAGATCGGTGTCATTTTATGAAGTTGTAAACTAAAGTTGCTAACTAAATAGCCTAAATATTTGTTTTGCATGCACACTGTGATCTTTATTGTTTAAAATGAAAGAATATTGGTGAAGAAAAATTATATTTATGATCAAATCTAGATATTAAGCAGATTTTGAACAGAACAGATATGTATAAGCAGAGAGAAAACAAGCCAAGCAAAGGCTAAAGAGTAAATAATGTTTAAAATTCTGTTTTCTTTAATATGCATGGTGTGGTTATCATGTTGATTTTGATTTGATTTATTTATTTAACAGGAAAAGACTATTAAAAATCAAGCCTGACTCAGCATAATTGCTGTTTTACAGCAGGTTCCTGTTCCGCAGCACATAAAACACTTAGAATTACAGCATCACAATCACATCATTATTATTACACCATAGACACAAAGACAAACAAGTATACCAAATTTCAAAAAGGCAGCATTTGCAAAATCGGACGTCTAAAAATGAGCACAACAAAAGTGTCCAGCAGATGGCAGACAAGATTCTTCTTAAAGGGCTGTAGTTTTGAAA